ATGGTCTTGTTTCTGACAGATCTGGCATTAAGAAGGAAAAAATCAAGCAGATTAGTTTCATCACATTTAAAATTTATAGGTTCTATAGGCACTGTAATTAAGTTAGAGTGAAAACTGTTCATGTCCAAGTTCGCCTGCGGACCAATTCCAGGTGCCTGAGCCAGTCGGTCTGATACCGATGCCAAAAAACCTGATGCGCACGTCTCTGCTTATTTACTCGATTTGAGTTAACTGGCATTCGACGATGTGTAATACGTACTGGAATGCTATGAGTACGTTGATCTTGATCCCGTGAATAATTAGAGATTACATTTTCAACAGGAGCACTATAATGACAATTTTGTCTTTCCCTAATTTTCAATTTCGCTTTACTTGACTTGCTTGTTACACCGTTAGAAGTATACATTGCACGATGAGTAATTCGTACTGGAATTATTTGACTTCGTTGAACTTTAACTTGCAACTCATTATAGTCAGCCTTATTGTTAGAGGCATTACAATAGCATTCATGTTCCGCACTGACTTTTCACATTGTGGTTTGATTGAACTTCCTACATTAGAGCAGGGTAAAGTATGAGCATCCACGCCATCAGACATATTTGGGAAAGCGCTAATAGTTTTTGATAGTATGCCAGTATTTGCCCCTGGGATGTCATCAGGGGTCTCAATTTGAAGTGGATTTAAACAACTTGCAATTTGTTGTGTATTCAAGGTCATTGTTGATACCGAAGATGTTTGATCAGGCATGACATTTTCTTTGTTTTCCAATAAGCCCGACCTTAGCTTATTTTCACGCTCTAAGGAGAAAAGCTTCTCATAGAGTGAAGCTAAATCCGATTCAAGTTGAATTCTTTTATCTTTTTCTTCGGTCAATTCTCGACTTAAACGACATATCTCTTGCTGGTATTCATTAAACGAAAGACAGACTTTCTGTGTGCTTTCCAAACTTTGTAGAGCATCAGTCCTTGATTGTAAAATCTCCATTTGTAGCCTGATATCTCTGAGTTCATCTAAAGCGAGTTCACACGAACAACCACCACAACAAGGATTATTCGTGGGACGAATAGGTGTTGCTTGCTCAGACGACTCCAATGTCGAACAACCCCCAAACAAGGAAGGTTTAGGTACATTTATAACTTCAGAAATACGGCTTTTAATGGCGTCAGCTGCTTTCCCTTCAAAGGAAATCGTTTGACTTTTACTGTACCATGTTAATAATAAATTACCGTTTAAAAAGCATGTCCAACTACCGCCGCCAGGTGACTTCCATACAATATCCTTTGCATTGACGTCTTTAAATTCACTCGCAATTAACTTCTTTAGTTGCATAAGGGTTCCTCCCCAAATTAGTTTGTTCTTCTTCGTAGCAAATAAATCATATTCGACATAATTGCTAGATTCTTTATCGATTATATTATGAATTGACATTATTGAACCTTAGAAAATACCAGTGTGGTTTTGTGGCTTCAACTGATACACCCAGGCTTATATCGCTACTGGTGAAGCAAAAGTATGGTTCAGAGTTACAGAACAAGTCCCTTACCTCTTTGAACCCCGAAATCTCCCAGGCTCTTACTCCCCTTCTTGATGAGCTTCGAGTAGTCGAGGAGACTAGAACAATGCGCATCGGCAGCTCAGGTCAACGCCAGTTTACCCGTAACTCAGCTAGTTCGCAACGCATACAGTTCCGTTCATGCACCCTATGGAAGACAGCCGGCCGCCCTCATTCAACTCACAACCTCATGGAGTGTCGCTTTTTACCAGAACACGACCGGCGATCTTGGGGCCGTTTCCATCTTTTAAGGGACGACCCTGATGAGTCCACCCCTGAAGACGATGAGTCCTTTGACCTAGTCATGACGGTTGTGCTAGTATTGTTCACGTCGATAACCCTACTGTTCACCGTGTCAGTGTCGTCCAGTCACCTGTTCTTCACACCTTTTACCATCAGTACCCTGTCCAGGTTACCTTAGACACTGGGGCCACATCTAATATGGTTCGTGCATCCTCCGCCACCGCCTATGGCCTTCCAGTTACCCCTGCTTCTCAGATGGCACGACTGGCCGACGGCATTACTCCTATGGAGGTTGTTGGCGAAGTCCACTGCTCTCTTGTTCGGGGTTCATCTACCTCCGAGCTCGACGCACTTGTTGTGCGACACCTTGATGTTGAGATCTTGGCTGGTAATCCTTTCTTGGCCACCAATGCTATCGCTATTCGACCAGATAGGCGAGAAATTGTAGTCGGTGGTACTGAGGTCGTGCGTTATGGTCCCACACCAAAGTCTCCCCATTCTACTGCCAGACGTACCCATCCTTCTTGCTCCGTAATCCGCAACTGACAGTGGTTTTACCCGGTGCTTACCTTCAGTTAAGAACGCCACTGGAGTCTCAGCCTGATGCATTGTGGGCCTTAGAGCCTAGACTTGACAGTCCATCTAACCTCCCTCGCAAACCTGAAGCTGCTTGGCCTCATCTGCAAGATAATGCCTCAGTCAGTAGTTGTGCCAAGTCAGACACGTCATACCCACCCCTATCGCCGACCCTTCTACCCTTTGTCCCTCCCGTCCACACTGTAAAGCAACCCCACACCCTATTCCAGTAAGCCGTTTTCCAGCACAGTCGTTATCGATCAAGATTCCTTTCTGCCTCTGAAGGTTCGTCTCCAATTTAGGGACTTTAACCTTGAGTTTGACGATGTATTCAACCCTTCCATCTCCAAGTATAATGGCGCCAGTGGCAAGCTTGAAGCTGTAGTCAACATGGGCCCAACCCTCCCTCCCCAACGCAAAGGCCGCCTACCCCAGTACAACCGCAGTACCATGGAAGCATTACAGGCAAAGTTCGATGAGCTCGAAGATGCAGGTATGTTTGCTTAACCCGAACAGGTTAATGTTCATGTGGAGTATCTCAACACTTCCTTCCTGGTCAAAAAACCAAATAGCGGAACGCCTCTCGTAACATCTTTTGGCGAGGTTGCCCAGAACAGTAAACCACAGCTTTCCTTAATGACCAACGTTCACAATGTTTTACTGTCCATCAGCCAGTGGAAGTTCAGCATCTGCACTGATTTGTTAAAGTCGTTCTATCAGATCCCACTAGCTGCATCCTCCATGACGTATTGTGGTGTTGCTACTCCTTACAAAGGTATCCGTGTGTACACCCTATCTGCCATGGGCATGCCTGGCTCGGAGACGTGGTTGGAAGAGCTCATGTCTCGTGTCCTGGGTGAGCTCATTCAGGAAGGCTGCGTTGCCAAGATTGCCGACGATCTGTACATCAGTGGTAACACTCCTAGCGAAGTCCTTTCCCATTGGCACCGTGTCCTTATTTTGCTTAGGAAGAACAACCTCCGTCTCTCGGCCTCCAAAACCTTCATCTGCCCAAGGAAAGCTGTAGTGTTGGGTTGGATTTGGTCCAACGGCACCTTACAGGCTACCCCCTCCAATCTCTCCGCCCTATCCTCAGTTACCCCTCCTCGTACTGTGCAGGGTCTTCGATCATTTATTGGCTCTTACAAGGTACTCAGCCGCGTACTTCCAAAATACGCTTGTCTACTCGACCCTTTTGAGCAGGCCACAGCCGGGAAAGAGTCTCGTGACCGGATCTCCTGGTCCGATGAGTTTCAAGACTGCACAGCAGGCGCCAGTCCCTATGCCAGCGGTTTAATCCGCTTCGCATAGTTACCTACTTCATATTTACATAATCGTCCTTGTTGTTGTTACGTTAATAAAGCACGCTTTATAATCGCTACTCCTGGTAAACCCGACTTCACCTACTATATTGGCGTCGCGCAATTCTGTCAATTCTATAAGACTAATTATTTCATTTTATTCTTGAGAATAATTTTCTAGACTAAGTTTGCAATTGAAAAGGCTACAATCAAATTTAAAATCACTAAGTTAAAATATTCCAAGAGAAGTGGAAATACGGTATATAGAGCTCAATGTAGTCACTGAACAGTTTGTTTTTGTCCGCCATCTTTATTTTATATTACGATCATTCAACATAAGTATACGTAATTTATACGATATGATAATTATGTGAAATAATAATATAGGGCGGTTTGCTAGATGGAAAATAGTCTTAACGTAGCTTATCTTCTTTAGACTAACCGGAATACGGCTGTAACATTTTTTGTTCTAGTGTGGGATTATTGATCTCTTTTGTTTGGTCTGTACTGTTCAATATCAGACCGAGGTTTTTTGCATGGTTTTGTGCATATACTAAAAATTAGCCTCGGTCGGATATTTCACTGTACGGATCTCACTCTCGACAATAATGAGTTATTACACCCTCCAACTATATAGTTTAGCTATCGCCCTGATTCAAAGTCATGGCATATTTTTTAAATTAACAAGTTTCTGCGGGTCTTGGTTGTGTATATTTTAAATCTATACTGCTGCAATTACATCTGGAGATATAAGGAGGAAAAATAATACATATAAATTTCCACTTAATTTTATGATCTAAATTTGTCACAAATTTGTCATCTAAAATTTCTTCTTTGATTATGTTCAAAGAAAGCCAATGCCTATAGCAATTCCTCAAAATAAATGCATAATTTATCTTCGTCGCCAAATTTTCATTTGTCTTTAGCTACCTTATTTCGGATAAAATATATATGCGGTCTTCTTTTCATCCGTGATGTTTTTGTCAGCTTAGACATATACGCCACCTGTTATGAAACAGGTAGCAATTAGCTATTCAGACTGAGACACTCCTAATTTGTGTGGGAGCAAATAAAACATGACAGTTTTTGTCCCTTGCCTGTTTATTTTTGGCGCTTTTAAAAAATCTACGGCGAAGTAAAAATTGCAAAATGGCGCAGTGGTAGAGAAAAACTTAAAAACGAAAAAGGAATACACGCGTATAATCAATACCTACAGATTTACTTCCGGTAGCGTCGCGAAAAACTGCGTCCTAGAATTCGCGTCCTAATACCGTTGAAGAGAAATTACTAATTCTCAGGTTTTTCTGTTCTTCCTTGCTTACAAAAACTTCAGAAAAGACAACATTATATGGAAAATTTACATGGCGACACAACACGGTAAAGAATGATGATAAGAATAACGAGCTTTCATAGGTCAGTGACATGTCCGATTAATATAAAAAACAGTTTAATTTGATAAAAGTCGCGTCCGCAATGCGGTGTTATTAAATGACTAGAAATACATGCATGCAGCAACCCCTCGCTATTTCAAACGAAGCAAAATATTCCTGAGCTAGCTAGCCAGATCTAACCTTCAATATTAATAAATGTCCTAAATGTAAAGCCGATAGCTGATGTTTCAAATATTTCGGAAACAAACATGGTCGTAAAGGTGAAGTCAAATCACCCGTTTTCCTGCTGCTTTCCGTTGCATTAAGTTATAGACTTTCACAGTTTAAGTGAGAGTTAATACTTCATTATAGCTAAACCTTCAAAACATCAAAACAGCCCAAATAATATAAATAACCAAGCAGTGAACGTCGAATGTTGTTTTTCGATTATTAAATTCATGCAGTGATTGCAGTCGACTATATATAAGCCTTCAAAGTAATTATTGTTATATTAAAACTCCGAATTACACTTTTAAGGACTCTTTTGGAAGTTAAAACGATGATGTAAAGCCTTAAATAGTCGGTCACGTCTTCGCAAAACCGAGCAAAACGACATAGTGTACCAAGGTCATAAAATGTATTCGTACAGCAAACACGAAATAAACCTCGAAATAAACAAAATAGACTCCTACCATTCCAAGGATTATAATTGAGTTGTCCCTTTTCACCGCTAATTCCTCCAGTTCTGATAATATTTTAAACTCTTTCCAGTGTTTTATCTGTTATTTGATTCCACATTTCATATTTTGTTTTCGAAACATTTTTTAAAAAATAGTTTGCAAAATGACAGTTAAATTGCTGACGTTTTTCACTGAAAAACAAACGTTTCGTCTCAGCCAATCAGGAAGTTGCTGATTACCAGTCTACACTCGTTTGCATTTCGCGCATGCGCACAAGTACCATGACCATTGAACGTCCATGACATTTGGGCAACTTTGGATTCCGCTATGTTCTCCCGGGTCCCGGGTGTAATTCCTAATCTCCGGGCGGAATTAGTACCCTCGCACGGTGCTCCGCACCAGCTCGGGGACAAGTGCTTTTCAGTGGTTTCGGCCTATGACAGAATCGGGTATATTTAAGATATAATGATTTTCTTTGGCCATTATTTATACAGATTTTTGATTATATCGTACTCTCAATTTTGGACGGTTTGATTTAGGTTGAATGAGTTTACCAGTCTGAATTTAGCTGTTCGAGGTTTAGAGATTTCCATGCGGACGGTACACTGGAAGCATAACATGGTAATCAAAGTGAAAAGCTTGTCCAAATTGCGTAAGAATACAGCATAAGCTCGGCGCGAAGTATAAAGCATTGTAAAATTATTAGGGGCCATGCATATAGACGTAGGTGCAGGTGTTAGATGTGTAAAATGCGTAAAATCGGGTGCGTTATTATAGGACTACAGTTCGGTGAAATAGTGAGATCTACATTGTACGTATATATAGCTTTATATTCCCAACATTTTTTCCACACAGCATGCAGTAGTCCTGATTTAAATCCATATGTTCAGCTTCCATTCACGCGTGATGATATATTAATAAGGAATGTTTATTTATGAGTGCAATGGTATAGGAATATTGGAATGAGTTGAATGGAACATTCCATCTTTCATTATTTGATTTATATGACACCAAAAAAGATCAACTTAATGAATTATTTTATTAACTGAATATATTGCAAATGAGGCATAATATAAATACAATTAGAACTTAGTGAAATGAGTTTAGTGAAAGCAACCTTGCACTATTTAATTTAATGCCACGATATCAAAAACAAGCAATTATATATAAGATATGATATGAATAAGGTGTTATATAAAACTATATATTTTGTGATAATTTATAAGCGATTACCTATTTTCTTGGGATTAACAGGAATTCGTGTAAAATTTTTTTCTGACCAGCCGACATTTAAAAAGTAAAGTAAAAAAGACAGAATGTCTGAATGTCTGAAGATGCATGACTTTGAAGTAAAGTCGAAAATTTACAGTCTCAACCTGTATCTTGCTTGATTCATATTTTCTCTCTGAAAATGTTCTATTTATTCGGAATTTTTTCACTTTCTTTTTTGTTCCAGTGCATGTGTGATTATCTTTGACTGACTTACCACCCCTTATATGTCTCTTCCGTCGATTGCTTTGTTCATTTATGGTTTAATTTATAATACATGGTTAGATTTATGTCGTTATATATTATCGCTTGTATTTACGTGAACCAGTGCCGTAACGGACGTAGGTAGGGTTAGGACAAGAACTAAGGGGCCCCAACCGTTGGGGGGTCCAGAGGGCCCCCATTGATTGCCGTCTAATGCCACGATTCTTAAAGAAAAACAGCGTGTCAGTGTATCGCATAAAAAAAGTCTGGTTAAAAACAAATATTTATGCCAAAGCTAGGCCTGGGGTATGACGTTGATTGCAAAGGAAAATGCAGCATTAATGATGGTAGATTAAATAATAGAGTATCCATCGACCATGGCTGAATTTTTCAGTGTTCTATTCATGTTCTATTACTTCTTCTAGAACTAATGAAGTGATGCACTAATGTAAATTTACAAACTTCAGCTCTCAAATTATTTTTCAAGTGAAAACATGACAAACAGCTAGGGCCCCCACACCAAATATACCTAAGGGCCCCATTTTCATCCGTTACGCCACTGACGTGAACTAGTGTAAGTGTTAGTAGTTTTCAAAATATTTATATGGCTTATTTGCACTACTCTATAGAGCGTCGTTGGTTAATATTTTGGCATATTTGCTGATGATAACGCAGATCGATTCCGAGGATTTTGGAGGGCAGGTTTACACAGATACGACCCTTGCACTAACCAATTCCCCGTATGTTGTGAAAAAAGACATAATCGTTCCTGAGAATGCCACATTGAATATAGAACCAGGAGTGAAGATGTATATTCTTCCCGGAATCGCTTTGCAGATAAACGGCTCTCTTCAAGCGAAAGGGAATGCAACTCATAGAATTGTTTTGACAAAAATGTCAAACAACTCAATGGGTAATACAAGGACAATCGGCAATGAAGGAATTCGACTTGCAGATGGGGGTAGTTACAAAGTTGGACGTTTGGAGATTTTTGTCCATGGAAAATGGGGAACTGTTTGTAACGAATGGTTTGATGAAAAAGATGCTCAGGTGAGGATACTGCTTTTGCATTTGTAATGATTGTTATGACGATATTGTAACTGTGACAATGCTGTTGCAATAAATTCACGTCCGAGTGCTGTCGTTCGTATGGATTTGTTTCTGGATTTGAAGCTTCTGGTGGAAAAAGTTTCTTCAAACATTCCTTCTTTCGCTCTTAATGAATGGTGGGATAAACCAAATCATTATTTCTTTGTCTCGTTCTTGATTTGCTACAGCTTGCAGGATAATAGCGTAGATTTGTTTCATATTTGCTACTTTTTAGAGCGGCTTCATACATAATTTACTACATCATCATAAGCCTAACCAAACTTTACTTATGTGTTTTACACTTGTGTTGTGTTACAACATGTAAATTTAAAGGCAGTAACACTGCGTGGGTAGAACGCTATAATTTTATAAAAGCAACTACTTGGGACTTCACTATAAACTTTTTACCGTGTTCTTTCATGTTATTTTGGCTTCTTGTATGGGAAAATTGTATCAAAGAATTACAAGTGAAACTATTACAATACTAAACTTCATACGAAGCCGTTTATGTACGCTTTATAGGCGAAATGAAACGTCAATTACTACACGTGTGGAGTCGAATTACTTGATAAACACAAGTTAAAACTACGCTCTTCTTTGCGAGACGCGACAACTTGGATACCAAATTCGGTCGATGTTTCGGACAAATATGAAGAAATTTGTCGTGCAAGGATCAGCTGAATCTATCGTGTTTCATCCCCAGAGGAATATCAAGTAGATTTCGTTGCTGGTTTTCCAATAATTACCTAGAAATATCGGTTGAGAATGCTTCAAGGGCTCTAGGGTTCAAAATATAGTTTACACTGTAGCATGAAAAAACTACACTGAAACTAGAACCCAAATTTGAAGACATTAGTGGTGAAGAAGGTGTATATGTGTGCTGTGTGGGGGGCATTTTTCTAAAAAAAACACGTGAAAGGGGACAATTATTTAAGACCCTTTGTCGAACTGGAACCTCTAGAGTTTACCTGCTTCGAGTGAAATGCCAAAAATCATAATTGATTTACCCTAATTTATTTAGTTGTTAATTGAAATATACCAGCCCTCCCCGGATCATATAATGTAATAGTCCCTCATACCCCCGTGATATCTTTGTTAGGTTGCTTGTCGCCAGCTTGGTTTCATGAAAGCAAAGCGATATTACACCCATGGTGGCGGAAAAGGACAGATTTGGCTGAGTCATCTACAATGTAGCGGACAGGAAAAGAGTTTACTCAACTGCAAACGTTCTGGTTCTTTTTGTTGTAAGTAGATATGATTAAGAAGATGATAAACGAACTCCGGATACTTAAGTGTAACTATTAACTGTTTATTAGCTGTTTATTATTTGACGTTATTTAAATCACGCGTGTCAATTATGAGTTAGATCGCAATTATTTCTCGATTGTATATAAATCATGAGCAAATTATGTGTCAAATATATTTCCGTCGTATGTCAGTCGTGTGTCAAAAATAATTAATTTGTCAAATCATGTGCAAATCAAGTGTCAATCTTGTAATATAGAATAAGATTATGACCTATTTTTCATGGGCCAGTTTAAAAAATAGCCTTAAATTTTACCTGTGCGTTCATTTGTTTATCCAGTTGGTTACGATGTTGGCGTTGAATGCGATAATTTCGCGTGGCATACTTTTTTTTGGAGTGGCATCATGTTCAAAAACTCTAAAATATCGTCTACACTACAACACCTGGATATTTCTGATGCTTATAAAGCTATATCTGGCGATGAATACCTACCTGAGCTTGATCATGTGACAGTCACCCATTCTGCATTTGGTGTGATATCCATCAACCTAAAGTCGCCATTGATTTTGATTGACAGTGCTGTCAGAAACAACACGTACGCTGGGGTTCAGATAACCGGAAAGTCAAAGAATATCCAAATCACAAACACAACTATTGGTCATACAATCCGAGCGGATGGATTTTCGTACTCTGAAATTGAAGAAACAGTCGATTTTTGCTCAGCCAGTGAAGCTAGTATTAGCTTTCCAACTACGTTTCGCGCGGTTGGACAAGCTAGAAGGAATGTTGAATGTTCGAAAGTAAGCCAAATTTAAAAGAATCATGCAAACATACATTTTCGGTTTATTGATTAGCATTATTACGTAGTATTATAATTTTCGTGTGCACTTATATACAAGCAGCTACGTTTCTCTCAACAGGTTTTTCAAAGTGTTGGAGGAAATCGGCTTGTTGTGTATTTTCATTCGACACCTGCTAGGAGTATGGAGCTCTATGTCCATGATGGAAACTCAGCTAATGGTACAATACTTGCCCACGTCGATTCAGATACTGTTGTGTATAAAAATATTTTGCCTCATTTAAGTTCTGATAGCCAAATCTACATACGGTTTCGATGTCTAAGATGCTACGGAGGAATATTAAGATTCACTGTCACAGATGATGGAGGTAGGAAAATTTCAACTTCTTTACAGACTCATGATACGATAAAATAAAAGTAACAGTAAATAGCGAAGACGTATAGTAAACATCACCCTCTTTTAGCTGCAGAACTTTAATAACCTTCGATAACCTTCAAAACGTCAAAACAGTCATTACCAGAAATCTGCGACATCGTGATTTGCATATAATTATGCTAATTTGCATATAACTTTCAACAATAATGGTCTTCAGTAACTTTTACTATAAAATACTTATAGCAAAAGTACAACACCTAAAATTGCCGTTGTTCTGGATGTTGCCCCTGTTTGCCGACCTCTGGATCAATAGAACAGCCGTTTCGCAACGTTTTCATGATCGAATTACTTACCTTGGGTGTTTCTACGTTCCGCCAACCGACGGTGTTCAATATTACCAGAAATTGGTGAAAAAATGGCCGTCCTTTGTTCGCTAATTTTTATTTAATCCATACATAATGGCCTTCGAGTTTTACTATAAAATACATTCAGTGAAAATATAAAATGTCGTAACGTCAGAGCCACAAGCAGACTTGGAGCACTATTTGCTGACCTGTAGATGGATAGAACAGTTGTTTAGAAACGTTTTGGTAACCCAATCTTTTACCTTAGATACTTCAGCAGTCCGCCAAATTTGAAAATATCTTGCCCAAAATTTTAGCCGTGTTCTCTCAACGAACTTAATAAAATCGCTCACATTCATACGAACATTTTGATTTGGATTGTTGATAAATTAGCGTGTGATATACAAAGATATTTTGTTAAAGATATTGTGTTCCTATAATATGAATTTTCTTGTACGGTCCGGATTTTTTCTGCAGTTGCGCATTAAAAAATTAATATTATCAGTCTCTTAAGGCAGTTCAACCATGCATACAAAGCGTACATACACATTTGAACACAGTCAGTTGGTGGAACGTAGAAACACCCAAGGTAAGTAACTCGATCATCAAAGCGTTGTAAAACGGCTGTTTTTCTGATCCAAAGGTCGGCAAACTGTAGGCAACATCAAGGGTAAGGGCGATTTTAGGTGTTGTACTTTTGCTATTATTATGTATTTGATAGTAAAAGCTAAAAGCCGTTATTGTTGAAAGTTATATGCAAATTAGTTTATATGCAAATCACCATGTCACAAATTTCTTGTAATGATGTGGATATACCCTGCGTATCGTTGAACTGCCTTGTGAGATCATAGACTATCCAAAAAGACAGGGACTGGCAACGCTAGCTAAAACACTTATAATGCTGACGCGCCATCCGTGATATGGCTTTATTTCGTCAATTTTTAAGTTGCCATGCAACTGATGCAACCGTGATTCAGAAAAAAGAACGCAAAATGGATAGGGCATATATTTCCATATTTTGAGGGATATTTTTTACATCGATGCAGAGAAGCTGAATGTGAAGGGAACTAAGCAACTAATTAGCGCTACCACAGTGCTTGGAACTCAAGATTTCGAATTTGAATCAGTGCACCTACTCCTGCAGACCCCACAGATTTTGATCCAATTCTAGAAGTGAGCGAAGGAATAGTAAAGAAGCTTGATATAAATGAGAGAATTCCCCCAACCGAGATCGATCGCCAAAAATATGAGCATCTGGCTGATATAACTCTACCCGCGGTCGATCTTAAACGTGTCTCGATAATGACCGGAGAAGATGTAAGGGGAGCACACATTACGCACGAAGTCACTGGGAGAGTGTCGAAATCCCTGAATGTGAGTTGTATGTAACCAGAACATCGTTAGGATGGACTGTTGCTGGTGGCTTGCCGATGACTGACGTGCATGCACCAGAGGGACCTATCGATTAACTTCCTTGATACCAACAAACAGATATACTAACTCAACAAGTTGAAAAGTTTTGGGAAATGGAAACATCAGGACTGACGATGAGCGATTTAACGAAGGCTGCTTCTGTTGAAGATCGCCGAGCCGAGGGTACCTAGACTGAATTATTGTGGAAGGACGATTCACCTCAATATCCTAATAGTAGAATAGTTGCGGAAAATGGTTGAAATTTTTAAAGAAACGGTTTAATAATGACCCTGATTTAGAAGAATCGGACGGTCATGCAAGGATTAATCGAAAAGGGATACGCCAGCAAACTGTCGAAGGTTGAGTCTGATGCAACAACGAGCAAGACCAATTACCTTCCTCATCACCACGTTGTCAACAAGAATAAACCTGAAAAATTCAGAGTCGTGTTCGATGCGACGATGAAATTTGAAGATACGTCGTTAATCAGAACTTATTGCAAAGCCCTGAGTACACTGACGCTCTCGTCGACACCCGCGTACCCGCAGCTTTTTTGCAACTCTGCTTGTCGGCTGTGCGAATGAGTAAGATGATTCAGAGTGAGCTTGATATAATGGCGTGCGAAACAGTATTTTGGACGGACTGTATAATATAGTGTCAGTGGCGTAGCCAGCTTGACGATTTAGTCATGCTATGCAAATTTTATGTTATTATCATTATTCATTTCTTTAGAAATTCGTTGTTTTCACAGTCGATGAACACAAAAATATTAGCATAGCATGACTAAATTTTCGGGCTGGCTACGACACTGTATAGTGTTATCTAAAGTAATGTTCGAAATACCACGAAACCATTCCAAACCTGCGTGGCAAATCGAGTGAATGAAATTCGGGAATCGTCTGATCGATCCAGCTCAGTGCAGGCACTGTCCAGGAAGTCTAAATACCGCCGACGATTGCTCTACTTGTTTGGCCCGTCATTAATACATAGAGCAACATCGCTGGCTACGAGGTCCGGATTCGAGGTATCCGACGAGCAACTGGAAATCAAAAAAGAAAAAACTGTCTGTGAAACTCGCGTTGACGCATCTGTAAGCCGACGGCTCTGCGAACTTTTAAAAAGATGGCAGATTAGTCGAAACTGCTTAAAGCTGTAGCTTGGTTGTGCAAGTTCAAGGTTTGGATCAAGAATGGTAAACACGTGAAATGCAACAGATTGACTGCAGAAGATACAACGTTAGCTAAGCGAAGGATCGTCTCACTCGTTCAGCAGCCGTCGTTTCTGGAAGAGTTGCAAGCCCTTAAGACCACCGACCAACGTGTTAAGAAATTAAGTCCGATCGTGTAACTGAAGCCCATGCTATTTGAGCAAGGAATCTTAAGAGTCTTCGGTATATAGAATATCGGATGCGCCTGGCACGTTTGATAGCAAACATCAGATCATCTTACCGCAAAGTCAGCATGTTACAACTCTGTAATAATTTGTTTTTATCCCCAGCTACTTGGCCACTGCGGACAAAAGCAGTTGCTTTCCCGAATTCGAGAGGAATTTTGGATCGTTAAGGGCAGAGGAGCTACCAAACGCATTAACAGCAAGTGCATACCTGTAGAAAGAGATATGCTGTGCGAATAACACAAGAGATGGCTGAGTTACCAAAGGTGCGCCTGACTCCCTTCGAGCCCCCCCTGAACACAGGTATCCATTATTTCGGGCCACTCACAGTAAAACTCGGACGGAGTACTACTGCCAAGTGATATAGCTGTATATTCGTATGTATGACGTCGAGAGCCATACATCGATCTTGAACCAGCTGCGTCCCTGGAAAGTGATGATTTTATTATGGTTTTACAACGATTCACAAGTTTTCACAGAGATTTTTCATCAGCCCTACGCCTCGAATATATCAGGGGCGTGGGAGAGATTAATTCGTGGCGTTAAGTGTTCGTTAAAAGCGATTCTTGGGAAAGGGCTGGTTAAAGAAGAGATCTTAAGAACAGTGTTATCGAAAGCACAAGGCATACCCAACTCAAAGCTTCTATGCCCTAACTCAGAGAATCCTCGTGACCTGGAAGCATTAACTCCAAATCACCTGTTGCTTCAAAGACCCTCGACTTCTCTGCCACCCGGTGTGCGGTCTCATTTCTCCCACGGTCTGAGCCATCCTCTATCACAGTGCGCATATTATGCGCAAGCGCATGTCAGTGGTTTTGCATAACAACATTTCCTCGTGGTCTGAGTTATCCCCTTTCTCTCGCTGGCTGTTAAGCAGTGGACAATTCTCACACACGTTGGATGAGCGTTTGATGATGCTGATTTGCATAGCACAGAGTTGGAGACAATGGCAGATTCTAACAGATCATTTCTGGAAGCCCGCGCCAACCCTTCAACACAGACAAAAATGGCTTGAACCTCGACGAAGTGCAGTAGAAGATAACGTTAGTGGACGATAACCTTGCGCGGGGATATTGGCTACTCTATAGAGTGACGAAGGTGTTTCCAGGAAACGATGGCTTAGTAAGGGTAGCCGAAGTGAAGACAAAAAATAACGTACTCAAGCGTGCGATCCAGAAGCTCTGCCTGCTGAAAGCAGCGGAATAGGTGATGAACGAGCTCTTTTGTGGTTTGCTACTTGGGGGGCCGAGATGTCATGTACTGATAGAGACGTTACAATTGATATTAATTATTTCGCGCCATCGTGATGAGTTAACATAATTAATTAAGTTTCCTCTTTCGCTCCGAAAGGGTTTGCGAACTGTTCACAATTAAAGTAAAATATGCAGACAAGTGGATCTAAATTC